TTAAATTATTTTTTCTAGTTACTTTTGTTCTAAGTGCATTAATAGAGACAAGTCTGTCCATCTTCTATTTCTGTAGTGATTTCCTACTTCATATCCTCTTGATAGGCTTTATCCTTTTGTATCTATGACCCCAATTGAAGGATGCACAACAGGAAGGGACATAAAGATTTACTTACGTTGCCTATGAAATTGTTGGATCTCTGTGATTAAAGCCGCATAATCCAGTAGTATGCCTTGGAGAAAGGAAAAAAATAATACTTAAGGTATGTGAGATAACAGGAAAGATAACTCTGAGGTTCTTTATCTTTTCATTTATAGTTGACCCTTGAAGAAACACAGGTTTGAACTTCATGGGCCCACTTATATACAGATATTTATCAGTAAATGTACAGTATCTGTAATTGGATGTAAGGTAGCAGATGTAAGGGTGATATGGTTGATAGAAATGGAAAAGAAAAATGTCACACATAGGTAGGGGAATTGGACCCATGATCTGGGGATTATTAGCACTACTCACTAACCAACTGAGCTAATTAGCTGCTCTCTAGACCAGAGTACAATGCCAGGATCAGAGAGGGACAGAAGAAGGAGGCAGGAAAACTGCCACTTTGAACTGATCTACTCCCACCCACCCCAGGCCTTATCCATGTGCTTTCAGGCAGGTGTCTACCCTGTCAGCAACCAGTAGAGCAGTTAATTAACCTTCTGCTTTCTCTCTCTTCTCTATTGGACCTTCCAGCCTTCCCATTTCTTTTCTACTTTTATGCTTTTCTACTTGTTGTGTCTGAAGTTAATTGACCCCATTTTATATACAGTAGGCTATGAGTAGTTACATTTCTGGGGAGTCAGAAGTTATATGCAGATTTTTGAATGCACAAGGTTGGGAGAAGTGAGGTGAGTGCCCCCAACCCCTGCGTCATTCAAGGATCAACTGTAATTAGGAAATTTAGTTTTAGAGTGTATGTTTTTGTGTATGCACGCTAGAAAAAGATTCTGGGACTGTTGCCTACAGATTGAGCAATAGTTACATGTTTATTTGCAGTATTTTGGGTGTTAGAAAGAGGAGAGTTCTCATAACACTGAATAACAATGGATTTGATGTGGTTACTTTTTAAAGATCATTTATTACCAAAACTTTAAGAATAGTTCAAAGTCAAGACTGTTTATGAAAATGTTAGTGATAAAGGTCATTGCGATCTGGAAGTATATAGTGCTTAATATACATCCAAAGCCATAGATATAGTAAAGATAATTGATACAGATATCAAACTAGTAAATCAAGCCATTATTTATAAGTTCATCTACAGTACTGTGTATCCACAGTTTTTAAGCGCTGGTGTAAAATGATGCTGTACTTATTAACCTGGCATTGTAGCCTTCTAAGTACTTGTTAGAATTCTGATTTTATTATTAGCGTTTGATATTCTGAAATGTTGAACTTTGTCAGTGGCAGATACTCCAGACAGCATTTGTATGTTATTCATCTAAGTGCTAGACCAAAGTGTTTTACTTTTCTAGCCCATATAAGGTAACAGTAGGGTTTGCAAATTTTAAGCAGTCACTATCTGAAATTTTTGATATGATTTAATTAGAATCTGCTTTCCTTTGATCTCATATTCTCCACATAGAAAAATATAAAATCATACCTGAGGAATCAGAATGGTGAGGTTATCTGAAGAATCTTAGCTTCTTTTTTGTTGTTGTTTCCTAGTACATTGAAGAGTTTTGAAAAACATTAGGAGATAGTAAAGTTTATAGCTTAAAAACAAGAAGAAAAACCACCTGGCTTTGCTGAAGAAATTGAGTGTTTCTTCTGGTATTTCTTTAAGTGAAAAACAGAAAGCCAGTACTGGAAAGAAATTTGAAACCTTGAATAATTTTTTTTTAGTTTTCTTTGTTTCTACTTTGGGTGAAAGTCCACCTGCTTCTAAAATGATAGGAATTCAGTATTAGTATAAAGTAGTTTGGGCAGAATATTTACCACTTCACTCTGTTGTGCCTGAAAATGTTTGATTAGAAACAGCTATATGTAGTATTTTCTATATTTATATAGATGTAAAATGGTTGTTTGAGCTTACAGTTCATGGATATGGTCCATGAGCATGTAATATTCTAATATAATTTATATTTTTAAAACATTTGGTTACTTTAGAAAAATAACTGATGTTCAAATTTTGGAAACTGAAGGTTTGCTCTATTTTTATTCTGTGTCTCGATATATAGTTTGTCTTAAGTTGGAGGCCAACTGATTAATTCTGAGATACACGAATATGTTATTCTGAAGTTATACTGTAAAAATTTTGATTAAAAAGTTTCATCATACTATTACTAAACAAAATTATATATGTAATATGACCATAACTTTGTAAAACAAAACAATGAAAATCATCTAAAGAAAAAAAGCCAGAACAATATATTTATAGTAATCGTTTCTGAATGGTAGAACTTAGTTATTCTTTAAGTTTCAGAACTTAGTAATTTTGAAGACTCTCAAGCCTTGAATTTTCCAAAATGTTTTATATGTGTAAATTATATGCAATGTGATTTTTGAAAATCAGTGTACTTGTTTCAATCTAAAACAAAAGGCCACACTTTTTTTTTTAATGGCATTATGAAAGTTGTTCAAGTAAACACAATATTCTCAACAATGCTTGAGGAAAGGCTAATATAGGCCATGTAGAATGTAGGTCAGATCCCTTTATCATAGATTTTAAGGAATTATCTAAATTTTCTTGATGCTGTAGCTACTTGTTTTTGTGATAAATACAGTGTTAACTGATGTGTTAAGTTTTAGAGATTCTTTGTAAAGTATAGAAATTCTTTTTATTTTATTTTTCAGTAAACATCTTTAATGCCCTTTGGCATGTAAACTGTACTGTTTAAAATGATGTGATATTGTGATAGGAAGTTAATATTTAGAAATTTTAAATTCAGTTTTGTGGTAATAAAGCTTTTTTATTCTAAGCAATAGTTTTGTGAACCTGTTGAAGAACTGTTGTAAACAGTGTTTAAAAGTTCGTTGACTTGTACATTTTCAACTACTGCGTCTAAATTTTATTGCTTGATTTAGACATGCTCCTATAAATAAAAAGCTATAGTCAGAATCACCTGAACTTAACTTCATTAATTTATACTGCTGTAGGCAGACAGACCAGGGAAATAACATGTCTTGAAGCAGTGAAAAATATTTTATTTCAACTCATTAATGTGATTTACATATGTTTGCAGTGTTTTGGAATAGTGTTTTGAGACCCATTTTTGTGTTTCAAAGAAGGTTAAAAAGTTTCTTACCCTCTGACCCTGAGACATCAGGGATGCCATTAAAATAAGTAGTAGTTCTAACAGGGCATGAACTTTGCTGTTTTGACTGGTATATGTTAGAGAATTAAATAAAGAGCATTATGGGTTTTGTTTTGTTTAATTTGGGCATTCTTCCATTATATTGAAGATTTTGGGTTTCAATATGTGTGCTCAATAAAATGCGTATTGCCTTCAAGCAGCATGAAGAGTGGTTAAAGGCATTGGCATTAGATAGACCTAGAATTGAGTATCGGCTCTCCCTCTTTTCAGCTGTATGATTTTATCAAGTCATTTAATACCTCCAAACTTCAGTTTCCTTATGTGTAGAATAACAGTAATTATTTAATAGGAGTAAATGAGATCATGCATATTAAGTGCTTAGGATAAGTGTCTAGCTCTTTGGAAAATTGAGAAAGAAGAGCTGCTATTATCAATAAGTTACTTTAGAAAAATAACTGATGTTCAAATTTTGGAAACTGAAGGTTTGCTCTATTTTTATTCTGTGTCTCGATATATAGTTTGTCTTAAGTTGGAGGCCAACTGATTAATTCTGAGATACACGAATATGTTATTCTGAAGTTATACTGTAAAAATTTTGATTAAAAAGTTTCATCATACTATTACTATTTGGTGAATTTGTTGCTTTAAAAACAGAAAAACTATTTTCCATATTGCAGTTGAAAAAGCTCTGTATATTTGTAAAATAATTATTACAGATTAAGTTATTTTAGAATATTGTCTACAAAATATTATGAACTGCTGATAGCAATTATGTATCTATGAAGTATTTTCAAAATATAAAAACACTTCTTTCATTATATTAAACAAGATAGGTTATCTTATAACAAAGTCATTTTTTAAAGTTTGCACAATTTAGACCATAGTTCTTCAAAAGAGAAATCTTAAGAGTGAAGTGTTTTTGAAGTAGGAATATGTAGTCAGAATTTAGGGTTACAGTCATAGCCTTCACCTTTAATTCATGGTAAATAAAATTTATCTTTCAGACGGCAAATGGCTACATCTTATTTTTTCATATTACATCTACAAGAGGGGACAAGTACCTTTATGAACCAGTGTATCCCAAGTAAGTTTGTTGTCTTTCATTCTTGTAATATTTTGATTTGCATACTTTGTATTAACAAAACAGTTTTGGGTTGTCTGAACTGATTTAAATAAAGCCAAGCTCACATTTCCAGGATAGTGTTTCAAAAATTACCAGGTCTTTGAACTGTCATTACTTGAATAAAGAATTCTGTAATTAAATATGTCTGGGAATTTTGGATGAATGTACTGTATCTCTCCTTGGACATTCAGAATTACAATTAATATACTCCAAATTTACCATTCTCCAGTCCTCATTGGAGAGAAGCTGAGATCATGAGAGGAAGAGATGAAATGTCAATAATATACAGGCACCTTTCTATGCAAAATACATATATGCAGAGAAAAATAAAAATACCTCAAAGTTGTTTCCTCTTGGTTAGAATTTGAGGGAACATGGACTTTTGAACTATGTTGTTCGGTATAATTTGCATTGTTTTTCCTTCTTTTATTTCAAAAGTAAGGGGCAAAACATTTTATTGAAAGAACTTTTGAAATAAAAGAACACAAAATTTCAAGCAATAATGTATGTTTTAAAAAATCAAGCCATTAAAGCTGGGTGAAAATGTAAATGAATATAACATTTCTTTGTGGTGGAAGATGGCCAAAGTTTATTTGGTATATAAGAAACTAAAGAGAAGACAGATTTCATTATATGGAAGTTTAAATTTCTGAAAATTAAGAACAAAACAACATTAAAAGGGCAAGTGGCAAATGAGAAAAATTTTGCCGTAAATAGGACCAAAGTTTACTCTTTCATATGTAGGAGTCATATAAATTGCTAAGAAACACAAAGATTTCAAAAGATAAACAGATTAAAAGTCTCATAAGAGGTAATATGAACTAACAAATACAAGAGAAACTTAACGTTAATTAGTCAAACTGAATACTAGTAAAACAAAACATTAAATACAAATTTTTTTAACCTACACATTTTAATATATAAATTAATTGTGGATTTAAAATTTTTGATTATTACTCAGTGCTAGTGGAGCAATAGTAAGTGTCCTTGTATCCTTTCAGTAGTAGATACTATACACAGAAAGGTGTGATCATAGAGAATTGGTTTGAAAGTTAACAGTATGTTACATTTTTCTCAAATAATATGCAGTCATTAAATATATCTCAGAAAAACTTGAGAGCCTGATACTATAATGCCAAGTGAAGAAACAAGCCACACAAAATTATATATGTAATATGACCATAACTTTGTAAAACAAAACAATGAAAATCATCTAAAGAAAAAAAGCCAGAACAATATATTTATAGTAATCGTTTCTGAATGGTAGAACTTAGTTATTCTTTAAGTTTCAGAACTTAGTAATTTTGAAGACTCTCAAGCCTTGAATTTTCCAAAATGTTTTATATGTGTAAATTATATGCAATGTGATTTTTGAAAATCAGTGTACTTGTTTCAATCTAAAACAAAAGGCCACACTTTTTTTTTTAATGGCATTATGAAAGTTGTTCAAGTAAACACAATATTCTCAACAATGCTTGAGGAAAGGCTAATATAGGCCATGTAGAATGTAGGTCAGATCCCTTTATCATAGATTTTAAGGAATTATCTAAATTTTCTTGATGCTGTAGCTACTTGTTTTTGTGATAAATACAGTGTTAACTGATGTGTTAAGTTTTAGAGATTCTTTGTAAAGTATAGAAATTCTTTTTATTTTATTTTTCAGTAAACATCTTTAATGCCCTTTGGCATGTAAACTGTACTGTTTAAAATGATGTGATATTGTGATAGGAAGTTAATATTTAGAAATTTTAAATTCAGTTTTGTGGTAATAAAGCTTTTTTATTCTAAGCAATAGTTTTGTGAACCTGTTGAAGAACTGTTGTAAACAGTGTTTAAAAGTTCGTTGACTTGTACATTTTCAACTACTGCGTCTAAATTTTATTGCTTGATTTAGACATGCTCCTATAAATAAAAAGCTATAGTCAGAATCACCTGAACTTAACTTCATTAATTTATACTGCTGTAGGCAGACAGACCAGGGAAATAACATGTCTTGAAGCAGTGAAAAATATTTTATTTCAACTCATTAATGTGACCCATTTTTGTGTTTCAAAGAAGGTTAAAAAGTTTCTTACCCTCTGACCCTGAGACATCAGGGATGCCATTAAAATAAGTAGTAGTTCTAACAGGGCATGAACTTTGCTGTTTTGACTGGTATATGTTAGAGAATTAAATAAAGAGCATTATGGGTTTTGTTTTGTTTAATTTGGGCATTCTTCCATTATATTGAAGATTTTGGGTTTCAATATGTGTGCTCAATAAAATGCGTATTGCCTTCAAGCAGCATGAAGAGTGGTTAAAGGCATTGGCATTAGATAGACCTAGAATTGAGTATCGGCTCTCCCTCTTTTCAGCTGTATGATTTTATCAAGTCATTTAATACCTCCAAACTTCAGTTTCCTTATGTGTAGAATAACAGTAATTATTTAATAGGAGTAAATGAGATCATGCATATTAAGTGCTTAGGATAAGTGTCTAGCTCTTTGGAAAATTGAGAAAGAAGAGCTGCTATTATCAATATATTTTTTTTTCCTTCACCAAACCTTTACTTCATTTCTAGTATTTATGTGATTTTATATATTGTTTTTTTATTTTTTAATTAAATTTGAAAATGTACTTCTTCCTCAGAATTTAACTTGTAGTAACTGCCATAAAATCAAACAAAATCTCTTGCAGGGAAACAATTTTACAGAGCAGATTAGAATCAGCCTATTGTGTATGTGTACTAGGCTGTGTTCTAGTTTGCGTTACTTAGTCCCGTTAGTTTCTCAGTTTTTCTGTAAAACCTATTTGTAAAGTGGGAAGAAAAATACTTTGTTCAGTTGTGTGGAGGATATTTTAAAACCTGGAAAATAGCAGTCATATACAGGTTTGAGGACAGTTAAAAAATATGTTTATATTGACAGTGTATCATCATCACGTGTACCGTTGTAAACACTTACGCAGTTTAGGACACTTTTCTAAGCATTTTTTCAAACTCATTTAATCCTATAGTAACCCTATGAGGTAATTAGATACAATTACTACACAGACTGCAGCACAGAGAGGCCAAGTAAAACCTGTAGTGACACATGTAGTAACTAGCATAGCTAGGATTCAACATAATTGTAGCTTCAAAGTCTGTGCTTTTTACCACCAATACTATACTGCCTCAACCCTATTTATGCCCATCTAGTCATCTGCTTTGGGATTTATTTGGGGACTAGGGAATCAAAAAAAAGGAGAAATAATCTGGAGTGGTTTATATGTGATTGTCCTAAAGAATAGAGGCAGCATAATTGAGGCCAGTAGTAGTTCATCTTCTCAGTTATAGGACCACTATTGTCTCTTGTTTGTCTTCTCTAATTTGAGTTCATCACATGGGTTTTTCTAGAGTATCTCACTTCCCTGTATTACGTGATAGCATCTTAATCTCAGATGGTATGTCATTTTCCATTACACTCCATCCAAGAACAGGTCTGATGCCCCCAAAGTCTTTCATAGTTTCCACAAAGTGTTATTTCCAGCAGCCTTCTTGTTGATGTTGGGAGTCAGTCTTCAACAATGGTGGCAGTCTTATTAAATGACTCGTTATGCCTCAAAGTCTGCCAGGGATAAATCAGAAATAATTTGTGTTAGCTTTAGAATATGTTCATGTGTTTATGTTTAAGTAGGAGGTTAGCAGATCTTGAAACAGCAAATCATATTTAATTTCATCATAATGAAAGTAATTTCAAGAAATATGTCATCATAATGTATACTTCATTGAGAGCAGAAATTACTTACCCCCATTATTCTATCTTTCCACTCCTACCGTTAACGTCTTTGTTAGAGGCCAGCGTTTTTGAGGCCAAAGTGCTTTAAAAAAAAGTTACTGTAGAAAAATTTAGTACTTTTGATTATCAGATATTAAGAAAACTTGATAATAAATTCCAAAAAATAAAAAACGATATAAACAAATGGGAAAAAAACACACTATTAAAGCTCAGACCTTCTACTTTATTCCTTCCCCCACCCCACAAACATATTAGATTGTGAAACTTTTTACCAGCTGACTGTTAATGAACTAACACTAGATGGGAAGCAAGAAGAGAATAACTAATTAGTAGTTTCTAACCTCAGTAAAACTTACCTTTTTACAAATGCTGCTTCCTTGCAGGAGAAACCTGCAAAGAAGGAGACAGAAACATTTATGAAATCAAATTCAGAGGAGAAAGGGGGTCTGAGTAAGTTGCAGATGTGAAAGTTTCCCTCACATTTGTTTTTTCTTGCTAGTAAGTTTGAGTGTTAGTTTTCTGGAGAGTAAACTTCTTTTTCCCTTCAGATGCTATAGATTTAGAAAGTTATTTCTAACATATACATTGTTCTACGTTTATGAACTTGCTAGTTGTCCTAATACTTTTTATTCTCTTTAATCTCCTCAAAACATTGCTTATGTACTTTTATTTCAATATGTATGTATATATTCCATAAATGTACATGTGTAACCTTTAGTTTTGAACTTTGCATATTTTGTGTATCCTTTAGCTTACATCATAATTACATGAACACATTTTTTACTAACAAGATAGATAATGATGTTATTGTATAAATTATGGACAGTGAACACTACTCCCCTGTTGGTCACATCCTAAGACTGGCAACTGAACCCACCAAAGAATGATACAAGTTGTGATATAATGTGTCATATGAAATACATATTTCCCAGTTATATTTGGCTTCATCCACAATTCCTGAAAACACTGCAGAGTCTTAAAGGTGAGATGGATTTTTATCATGTTAGTGAGAGACTTGGGCCCCACCCAAGGGTTGGGGCTGGAGTTGAATCAGCCAGTGGCCAATAATTTAGTCAATCATGAGTATGCAATGAAGCCCTCGCAAAAACTCCCAGAGAAGAGCTCCCTTGGATCCTGCTTCTCTGTTGGAGGCAGAGCTTCAACTCTTGGGGAAGCAGAACGCCTCCATGTGCCACCGAGCCAGGGCCCAAACTCCACCAGGATAGAAGCTGCTTTATTTGGGGCCTTGCCCTATGTATCTCTTCATCTGGCTGTTAACTTGTATCCTTTTTGGTATCCTTTATTTAACTGGTAAAGGTAAGTGGTATCCTAAGTTCTCTGAGCCCCTCTAGCAAATTTATCAAAGCTAAGGGGAAGCACAGGTGCCTGGAGTTGGGGTGTAGGATGGAGCCCTTAACCTGGGGAAACCTGACAAAACCTGGGCAGATAGTGTCAAAATTGAGTTAAATTCTTGGACTCCTGCTGGTGTTAAGAGAATTGCTTGGTGTTGTGTGTGTGGGAAGAACCCCCCCTCCTCCACACACACAAACTTTGGAATCAGGTCCAGAAACCCGAACAGAGTTATACTACTGTTATACTACTGCATAACATTATTGTTACACAGGAAGGAAAAGACCCCAACAAAAAAATGTTAAAAAAGATTTGCCCAGTTCAGAGAGCCCTACACATTGTTCTTACCAAACTGAAGGCTATCTGAAAGTGTGATAGTGTGAACAAAAAGCTTTAAAAATTTTTTCTTTTAAAATATAAAAGGCCTGGTGAAAACTTATGAAAATATGTGTTCATCCATCCATCTGCCATTTACGTCCTGAATTTTGTCTGGCTCTAGGGCTGTTGTAGATACTGGGGATACAGCATGGAAAAAAAGACCAAAAAAAAAGTCTACTCATAGAGCTTGCATTCTTCTAGTAGATGGCAATAAATAAGTAAAACACATTGCAAATTAGATGATACATTCTGTGGAGGAAAGTAAAGCAGAGAAAGAGCATAGGAAATGGGGTAGGGATACAACCCGAAATGGAATCTTTACTGAGATGACATAAAAAGATCTCGTAGAGATGAGGAAACAAAATATATATCCAGAGGAAGAGCATTCTGGATTGGAGTGATTTAGCATGTAAGAAAGTAGAAATATATAAAAGTTGTATAGCCAGAATAGTAAATAAGAAAGATACATTTTAAGTCCTATCTACTGTCTTACAGTAAAAAGTCAGAAGGGAGAAGTTTTTATTAAGGGTAGAAATGAAACATTACATCCTGATTTTTAAGTAACTTGATCCTGGGAAAGCCTATATAGCTAATTCCCTTTTTCTATAAATGGCACCACCATATGCTTGAGTTTATTTGCTGTTCCCTAGCTTAGTAATTCCAATAGCCAGTCAGTATCAAGTCTAGTAAATTCTATCTCCTATGTATTCTATGCATTTTGCCTTGTATGTATATCCTTCATGTCTTTTCCTTCTTCCTAAACTCCCAACAGTACTACTTCAGTGTGCACTTGGTCACTTTCTCCTGGATTATTGCATCTTCTTAAAACCATCTTTTATAGTTTTCCCCAAATGAATTTCTAACAAAATTTTCTTGCTGTTTCCCTATGTAAAAATTTTCAGTGACTTTACTCAGCTTTCAGGATTAATCCTGTTGCTTTCTTTGAGTTTTTTAATTTTATTTTTTACTCATTTGAAAAATGAAGTTAATGCCATTTACTTCAAAAAGATGTCATTAGGTTTAAATCAACATCTTAAATAATCATACAGTACCTAAAATAATGCTTTAGTGTTCCCTAAGGTTTTGTTCAGAGTTCTATTCTGCATATTTTTCCTGGTTTTATTTATTCATTATATGTGGATGAGGTCCAGACCTGTTTCTTTAATGTGGTACCACTTGCCGGAGCTTCAGGCCCATCCTTCCAGGATAAATCTATAACCGGTGGAGATGCAGTTTTTCCCAGGATTATGTCTTGGAGGCACCGACGAATGAAGCCTGCAGATGAGAATATGGAGCAACTAGTTTTTAATGAGAAGTGAAAAGGAAAGAGAAAGACTCCCCCTAAGTGCAAGGGACTCCAAGAGAGATGCTGTTAGAACTGCACTATGTGGGGTTTAGAAGCACAAAAAGAAGAATGCAAGTGCCTGGGAGTTGCTGCTAGGGTCTGTTGCTATGGCCAAGCTAGGATCAAGGGAAGAAAAAAAACTCCCTTTTTTCTCAGGCTGATTTTAGGGAGGGGATGTCCAGGATGAGGCTTTTGATTACTGCTAAGCCTTAAGCCTTAACTATGACTACCTTACCCAGTGCCTTGACTCTGTCTGCCTGCCATCCACTAATGCCTGCCTCAAATCCAATTAGATGTTCCTGTAGGCAGGCTCAAATTCATCATGTCTAAACCTAATTCACTTCTTCCCTACCAAGCTGTTACTTTTCTAAAACCGATTTCAGTTACCATGATCTTTTATACAGTTATTTATATGAGGTTGGGAATCTTGGCATCCTCATTTCTTCACTTCTCCTATTTGTTTGGTACTCAAGTTGTATTGGTCGTTTACAACTCCTCTGTGTCTCCAGAATGTGCCTATTCTCTGTATTCCTCTCTCTTGTCTTATATGGGCCTTCATGGCCTGTTCTCACCTACTGAGAGACTTTTTTACTAACTCTTCTAGTCTCTCCTACATTCTGAAATCCAGCCTTTGTATTGATACCAGGTTTATTTTTCAGAACAGATTTGGTGGATACCAGGTTTATTTTTCAGAACAGATTTGGTGTGATTCTTCTCTCAGAAACTTTTTTTTAAGTTTGGGTTAGTTTTATTCTAAATTATTTCAGCTGAATTCTAATAATACAAAAACAACATACATCTAGAAAAATACTATTTCAGAAAGATCCTATCTGTAAACTCTTGTATTTCTAATTTTTTTAAATTGTGGTAAAATACACATAACATCATCTTAACCATTTTTAAGTGTACAGTTATATTCCATATAAGTGGAATCATACAGTGTTTATCTTTTTGTGCCTGGCTTATGTCACTTAGCATAATGTCATCAAGATTCAGAGGTAACTTCTAGAGACTTCTAGAGCTGTTTCTCTCTATCTCCCACCTCTTTGGTACTCTGTCACACAAATAGCTACTTCTGCCTCCTTGAACTTTTGTCTTCCTCCACAGTGTAGTAAGAGTGCCATGCTATGGTTGAGTTCTTCTATCCTACTTGGTAGTCTGGAAGTGGTTTCTAACAGAAAACCTTGTCTCCTTTCACTCAGGATCACAAGTCTTTTGCTGCTTCTTATCTAGTGTCTGAATGTGGTTGTTTCATATGTGTGTGTGTGTGTGTGTGTGTGTGTGTGTGTGTGTGTGTGTGTGTGTGTGTGTGTGTCTTACTCTGGAGGACTTCAGTACCAGTTACTCTATTAGGATAATAATAAACTGACCACTTATGTGCCAGCCAGTCAGCTTGAACAATTCTCTATCTTTTTTTCACTATAGTTTAAGTATATCTGAGATACCATTATTTCATCCTTCATCATTCATTTCTTCATAATGGAAAAAATACTTCCGTTATCTGTATTCTTGTAGACAGTGATGACATATGAGGTGTGGTTTGAATAAAGAAACCATTCTGAGCAGTGTGTGTGTGTGTGTGTGTGTGTGTGTGTGTGTGTGTGTGTGTGTGTGTGTGTCTTACTCTGGAGGACTTCAGTACCAGTTACTCTATTAGGATAATAATAAACTGACCACTTATGTGCCAGCCAGTCAGCTTGAACAATTCTCTATCTTTTTTTTCACTATAGTTTAAGTATATCTGAGATACCATTATTTCATCCTTCATCATTCATTTCTTCATAATGGAAAAAATACTTCCGTTATCTGTATTCTTGTAGACAGTGATGACATATGAGGTGTGGTTTGAATAAAGAAACCATTCTGAGCCTTCCTAGAAGTATGGTTAGGGAACCAAAGCCTTTTGGTCCCAGAATTCACCTAGGACTGTCAGAACTCTCTAAATCAAGCATAGCACATTTCAAAATCATTTCAAGATTTGCAAATCTGAGTAGTTAGAAGAGTACAGCTTGTTCTTCAGTTCCTCCATTACTGCCCTTTTTTGTGTTTAATTCATTTTCTGCAGCATGCCATTTTGATTTCTGTATTTCTTTCTCTGTGTATGTTTTATTTTTTTAGTGGTTACTTTGGGGATTAAATTAACATGTATACTTACAACAACCTAGATTGAATTAATAAAAATTCAGCTTCAGTAGACCAAAACTATGCCCCTGTACATCTCCATCCCTCTTCTTTTATGTATTTATTGTCACATATTACATTACTGTACATTGTGTACCTGTAACACAGATTTATAATTACCAATTTATGCTTTAGTCTTTTAAATCATATAGCTATAAAGGTGAATTTCTGAACCAAAGATACAATATGCTGTCTTTTTATTTGCCTTTGTAATTACCTTTACAATTGTTCTTTATTTTTACATATTGCTTTGGATATGTCTAGTGCCCTTTCATTTCAGCCCGAGAGACTTCCTTGAGTGTTTTATAGTTCAGGTCTACCTGTGGTGAATTCCTTCAACATTTGTTTTAACTGGAAATCTCTTAAAACTTTCTCCTTTGTATTTGAAGGATACTTTCTCTTGGTATAGAATTCTTGATTGGCATTTTTTTCTTTCAGCATCTGAAATATGTCATCCCACTGCCTCTAGCCTCCACAGTGTCTGATGATAAATTGACTGCTAATCTTACTTAGGATTCCTTTTAGATGCAAGTCACTTCTCTTGCTGCTTTCAAGGCTCTCTGACTCTCAGTAGTTTGAATATAATGTATCTTGGTATGGGTCTTTTAAAATTTATCCTACTTGGAGTTTGACGAATTATTTGGGTTAGGTTTGTGTCTTTATCAGATTTGGGGTATTTTCAACTTTTCTTCTTAAGTATTCTTCCTACTCCTTTTTCTTGCCTTGCCTTTGGGGCTCCCATTATACATCTGTTCATATGCATGGTGGCGTCCTACAGATCTCTTTTAAGCTGTGTTCATTTTTCTTTCTGCTTCTCAGACCACATAGTAAAATCACTAATGAACAATACTCATAAACTTGATTTGTTGAGTGTTGCTGTACCACAGGCTAACATCTATCATCTAGTTGATGTAGTATACTATATAAGTTGGCATAGGTTAATAGCCTGTGGCAGAAGATAAATGACAGCATTGTATACAAAGTTTTGGCTCTTAAAGCCTTTGCCTGTAAGTGACACAAATCTCTTCTCCTTGTGTTTTATAGGCCAAAGTAAGTTACATGGCTATACCTAATTTTAAGTGATCAGGAAAGCACAGTTCTTTTATGTGCCCAGGAATGAGTAATTTAGTATTTGTCAGTAGCTTGAATAATATCTGGGTGTACATATAAATGTGATTGCACTTGTCTCTGACAAGCCTTTGTTACTAAGCAGGAACTATAATTCTCAATATGCTTTTAGTATCTCCCTTCAAAAAAGACTATGATAAAGTTGTCTGAAAAACATACCTACTACCCCTGTCCAAGTCCAGGCCCTCATGTACTCTTAATAGTCAACCTACAGACTCTATTCCTTCCCACACCCTATCCACAGTCCATTCTTCAGCATTCATTCTAATGTTTCTTTACTCAAAGGTTATTGTTAGACTGAACTCTAACAGTTTTCAGTTTCTAAACACATGGCTTTTATGTCAACTCCTTCACTTTCTAGCTGTGACCATGAGCAAAATTGTTAATATTTCTAACCTTCAACTTCTTTTCTGGAAAAACAGGGATAAGGATACTTATTACAAAGAATTATAGGCAGTCAATTGAGGTAATGTATGTAAAATATTTTGAATACTCATACTTAGTAAATGCCCAATTCCATTTTCGTGGTATTCAGTCTCTTCAGTAATTTGGCTTAAAGTTATCCCTCCAGTCTCACTTTCCATAACTCCCCTCCAAAAATCTGATGTTTTGCTTTCAGATTATTGTTGAACTATAAGTAATAATATTTTTGATCAGAAAGTTAGGTTTTTTATTAAAGCAATTTTTAATGGTTTATTGCATTTTAGTATATTCAGAAGAATGAAAACTTCTGTGAAATTTATCTCTAATTATATAATAGAAGTCATTGAAAAGTCAGGATTTATTTAAATTTGCTTTAAATTCTTATAATACTCTAGCACTAGTAAATGAGAGTATTTACATAAAAGAAGCAGAAGATTGCCAGTCTCAAGATGGTAATGAGAGCTCCATCCTTTCTCTTGAAAATAACCAGTAGAACAAGAAGTTGAAATACTCTTTGCATCTTTAATGAAAGCTAGAGGCATCTCTAAATTAAAAATTGGATAAGAAAGAATAAATGACTTAGGAAGAATATCAACCCTGAGAGCCCTACCTGATACTTATGAAAAACAACTTCAGTGATATGTAAAACCCTGGAAAAACTCTGGAATTAGATGCATTAGTGCCACAGAATATAAGAGTGAGCTAGAGGCCATTTTCAAAAAATTGGAATAAGGATTTCTGTGTTCCTGCTTCATAGGAAATACACTGTCTGAATAAACCAGAGGGATTCCAGACACAAAGTAGGGCAAGAGTGAGATGCTAAACTAACTCTGGGGATTAAGTGAAAGTCATACTGAACAGTAGGACATCAAGCCTTCTTCCCTTGCTTGGCTCCAGACCTCTGGTTTCCATGCTTAGATATCCCAGGCAGGATTAATGGAATCCTTCCTGGGGAAATAAAGCTACTCCAGAAAAATGACAGTGTAGACCCTGATATTTGAAGACTTCAAAAAAATTAAAAAAGCCAAGTGGCTATTACCCGAGCCACCATTTGACAAGCCCAACCTGAACACAGACAGTTTATGATTAGCTTTTTCTTACAAGCAGCCAAGGATTGTTAGCCATCTTAGGAAAGTTTCCAGTGTGAAAGAGAGACAAAACAGAAAATGGAAACTTACAGGAAACTGAAAATGCAGGG